CCGATCCTTTTGCTGTTGCTTGTGGGCGAGTGAGGCTTCTCTGTCAGTGGCTTAGTGTGTCTTATTAAATGTACATGTAAAAAGAATGGACAACTTTTATTGGCTTTTATTCTCTTTATGCTAAGTATGATATAATTTATTGTGGGAAATTGAAAAACCATTTACAACCCATGCAGCAGTTTTAATAGGGCAGTTTCAGTCAGATTTTGCAGTCTTTTGGAGTCCAGAATGACTACATATTTGACCTGTTGTGTTCTGATTATTGCGGATTTGAATTTTACATACAATTCTATTCTTATATTAAATTACTTACTACTAGTATGTAGAAATTTACTCCATTATAATTGAGCTACAATCATGATTGTAAATTTTTAAATTCTGACTTTTAGGCATAAATTTGAAATATCTTGTACTTTGTTAGAACTCATTGTTTGTAGACTATTGAGATAAAATCTAATAAAACTGAATGAGAAATGCATTTGTGTATGATTGTAAAATACTTGCCAAAAAACCCACAATTGTAAACCATACAAATTATTGATGGAATAAATATAAAATAAAATTATTATGCAATAATATAATAATAGTAAATTTCATCAAATACAACTTTAAATCTTAATGATATGGGAAGGTTTAATCCGTACATTTTCATCACTTATACACGAGATTTAATATTAGTTTATGAAAGATTAAAATTTGAACGTATAAGTAAGTTTACAATTTTCCATATAAAACGTAATTTTTGGAAGTATTATAAAGTAAAGTGTGAATTTAACAAAAAATAATGAGGTAAAGATCTACGTTAAATTTTATTAAACAAACAAATTTAATATGACCATAAAACTTTATTTTATGGCCATGTTTAATAATAATTATACGTTTTGTATATTAGAGGTATAATACTTGTTTACGGCAGACTTAAATCCGAACGTATTAGTAAGTTTACAATTTTCCAAACTTTATTAAATTTGTTCTTTTAATTTTTCATTAAACTCGAATTAAATGCTAATTATTTTCTAACATTTACGATCCCACAATATGTTATATTATGCATTAAAACATTGAATAATCGCAGCATTTAAATTGCATTTAAGGTAAAATTAAACCCGACTTTTCATGCAGTGAATCTTCTTCTCAAGAATGACAAAGCCATAATTCATCAAATTTATATGGAAGCATCCTCAGGTAGTGAAGATTCAAGTTTGTTCAAATCATGACCCCCGGGGGTAGGGCGGGGCCAAAATGGCCGACCAAAGTTTTACATAGAAATATATAGGAAAATTCTTTAAAAATCTTCTTCTCAAGAATGACAAAGCCATAATTCATCAAATTTATATGGAAGTATCCTCAGGTAGTGAAGATTCAAGTTTGTTCAAATCATGACCCCTGGGGGTAGGGCGGGGCCACAATAGGGAATCCAAGTTTAACCTCGAAATTTATAGAATAAATCTTTAAAAAACTTCTTCTCAAGAATGACAGATCCATAATTCATGATATTTATATGGAAGCATCCTCAGGTAGTGAAGATTCAAGTTTGTTCAAATCATGACCCCCGGGGGTAGGGCGGGGCCAAAATGGCCGACCAAAGTTTTACATAGAAATATATGGAAAAATTCTTTGAAGAAAAGCAAATCCATGATTGATCATGCGATTACTTTTGGATTTTAACTTCTCAATAATAAACAAATTTCTACTGTTTCTTATCTACAGTACTCAGGTGAGCGATGTGGCCCATGGGCCTCTTGTTTAATGTACCATTAGTAATACACATCTGGCGGGACATTCATGTCCTATAGACATATTTCTAGTTTTTCAAATCATCACCTCAGGCTAGGGTCAGGCCACAATTAGGGATCAAAGTTTTTTTTAGGAATAAAAGGAAACACGTCTTTAAAATTCTTCTTTTCAAGAACACCAAGAGCATGACTAATTTGGAAATATTCTCAAGAGGTGTAGATTCAAGTTTGTACAAATCATGACCCCCAGGGTTAGGGAGGGGCCATATTTTTCCAGCCCCTTTTTGCCATCCATATGAAAATTCAAATTTTGAAACCATTTTACACATACACAAAACAAACCAATCATTTTCTAAATGATCATGGTTTAAAGCTATTGCAGCATAAGATATTAGGGAAGTTCTTGAAAGCAGGGTGATTAAACATGTCAAATATATGTAAAAAAAAAAAAAAAAAAATCTACTCCGATTTGATCCCCCCCACCCTACCCCCCCACTCTCCAGGCAAAATGAAAATTCCGAAACCTTACTGCACATCTACATGACACCACCAACCATCTCTTAAAAGATGATTAGGCTACTGAGTAAAATGTAAGAGGAGTTTAGGGAAGACGGGGCTTTTTGCATAAAAAACATCAATTTTTTACCCTCATTTGACCCCCCGGGGCAAAATCAAAATTCCGAAACCTTACTGCACATCTACATGACACCACCAAACATCTCTTAAAAGATGATTAGGCTACTTATTCAAATGTAAGAGGAGTTCAGGGAAGACGTTGCATTTTACAAAAGAAAACGTCATTTTTCTACCCCCATTTGACCCCCAGGGGCAAAATCAAAATTCCAAAACCTTACTGCACATCTACATGACATCACCAACCATCTCCCAATAGATGATTAGGCTGCTGAGAAAAATTTAGAAGGAGTTCAGGGAAGATGAGTCTTTTAGCATAAAAAACGTCATTTTTCGACCCTCATTTGATCCCCTGGGAAAAATCGAAATTCCAAAACCTTACTGCACATCTACATGACACCACCAATCATCTCTCAAAAGATGATTAGGCTGCTGAGTAAAATGTAGAAGGAGTTCAGGGAAGAAGGGGCTTTTTGTATAAAAAACGTCATTTTTCGACCCCCATTTGATCCCCTGGGGCAAAATCAAAATTCCGAAACCTTACTGCACATCTACATGACACCACCAACCATCTCTCAAAAGATAATTAGGCTGCTCAGTAAAATGTAGAAGGAGTTCAGGGAAGAAGGGGCTTTTTGTATAAAAAACGTCGTTTTCGACCCCCATTTGATCCCCCGGGGCAGAATCAAAATTCCGAAACCTTACTGCACATCTACATGACACCACCAACCATCTCTCAAAAGATGATTAGGCTGCTGAGTAAAATGTAGAAGGAGTTCAGGGAAGATGGGGCTTTTTGCATAAAAAACGTCATTTTTCGACCCCCATTTGATCCCCTAGGGCAAAATCAAAATTCCGAAACCTTACTACACATCTACATGACACCACCAACCATCTCTCAAAAGATGATTAGGCTGCTGAGTAAAATGTAGAAGGAGTTCAGGGAAGATGGGGCTTTTTGCATAAAAAACGTCATTTTTCGACCCCCATTTGATCCCCCGGGGCAAAATCAAAATTCCGAAACCTTACTGCACATCTACATGACACCCCCAACCATCTCCCAAAGGATGATTTAGCTACTGTGAAAAATGTAGGAGGAGTTCAGGGAAGAAAAGTGTGACAGACGGACGGACGGACGGACGGACGGACGGACATGAGTAACAACAATATACCCGAACTTTCTTTAGAAAGTGCGGGTATAATTATTATATAAATTAATGTTCCGATTATATTTAAATATTTCCTCGCTTCAAAACACCCTTCTAAATGATAGTATAATCTAGCAATAAGGCTGACAATAATTTATTATTTATGTACATTTATGTGCATGATTCAGGATATGTAGGTAATTGTTACATTTACAGGGATAAAATACAAGGTTAAAAGAATGAATCTATATTCAGATATGTTAATCACACATTCATTTATATTTCAAATATATTTCACTTATTAGCTTACAATTTGTAGAGATCTGCAAATGATTCATCGGCAATTGAGTCTGGTTAACATAAACTTTAAAAATACATGTTACAATCAAAAGTCATAGTAAAAAAGTAACTATTAAAAATTGATTCCTTTCATTTATATTTTAAAAATTATATCATCAAAAAGTTGGTTTTAATCAATTTTTATGAAAAATAAAACAATTAAAAGAATTTGAATTATCTGTGCCTTGAAATGAGTTGAGTATGTAAATGTTATAAATTATGAAATAAATATGACGTACTGAAAATATGACGTCATTTATTTTGTACATACCTGTATTATTTTAAAAAAGTTTTCAACAGAAAAGATTAATATGACTCATTTCTGCATTTATGTCCCTTAAAAAATGCATTTGCCCAAAGTTCTTTCTCACTACCCTTTTTACGATATACAGTGTTGTATAATCCTTTGAAAAATCACAAAATTCCAAAAATGGATTTGGTGATGCATGTTATATTATCTAATAGAAGATGCACTAAAAATGGTGTCCCCTGAAAGGTTAAAGAAAATATGGGAATATGCACATGTTCAGAACGTCACATTAAGCACTTAATATGTCATCTGAGAAATACAATTTGTATATTCTTCTGCACGAAAGAATTTCAACAGTTCAAAAAGGCAGTGTTTTAATTTCTAATATATTCAATATTAATTATATAAAAGTGTTATTATTTGGATGTACTATGCCGAAATAGTATTCAGGGTTTGACACATGGTGCACGAGCTGGAAGCGAGTGCACTATGTGTCAAACCCTGAATACTATTTCGGCATAGTACACCCAAATAATAATACTATCATTATTACTATGCTGACTGTCTTTGAGTAATATGATGAGAAATTTAAATCAAATATCGCATCTTGCACAACAGACGAAAATCATGACAAAATGCACTTTGCACTTTCACCCATATTGCGTATTATTTTAAGCATAATTCCTTAGAACACCATGAGAAAATAGTTGGGTATGGGTTATATAGAGACAAACTAACAGGAAGCATAATAATTTCTTATATATTATATATTCACATATTTGAAAAACAAAAGGCAATATATTTCTTGAAACCCTAACTTGTTTTTTAAAAAAATACATGTACAAATTTATGATAGTAATTTAAAGTCTTGCGTTTATAATCTCTAAATTTTTACTTTGATCAAACATACAGTTGTCCAATTTGAGACTAATTACGCTGTTCCCTTTTTCGTATCTCTGAATGTTGAAAACATTGGGTGTGCTTCCTCTACTGGTCTGCTTCCGCTTATTTTTGAACTTCGAAACAAACGAGTAAAAAAACTTCCTCTGGAATATTCGTTCCAGCCACCATTGACATGAGATCTTCGTTTTGAGGTTGTATCATACACTCCCTCAGAGAGATCTTTATATGGGTTCTCATCGAATTCTTCCTCTGGAATTGTGGCATATACGTTATCAATACTACAGACTGTCTTTCTAGAGACAGGTCGACCGACTTTTTCTTTACTGTGTCTTGTCATGTTGTTTCTGAAGAACATAATAGAATACCTTGTACAAATAGAAACATTCTTCAGTATTTTATTGTTGAATCCTATATTTTTCTTTCAATCTTATATTGACAAGAACAGTTGCTACAATACGAAGGAAATATGATTGATTTTATTGTGTTTCTTACTTATTCTGTCTAAATCGCTTGACTGCTAGAATTCCCACAATAATTATCGACACTTCCACCACTCCGATTCCCACCATCAGAATCACTGTTTTAACAATGCAAGAAATATAAAGCTTCCTACATAGATTCATTTTATCTTATTTAGTCATTTTACAACAATTGTAAACAAACTCATGTATTTGAATTATTTCAAAAGGCTAATAACAATTAAATAAATAATTAGTCTTTTCCTTTATATCATAAGGGTTATATTACTAGAAATCTTGTTTGATTAATATGACATAAAAAACTGTTTTATGAATGAAACATAAAGCAGCAGGAATGGTGTTAGAGTAGGTTTTTTTTCTATAAACAGTTAAGAATTTTAATTTTCAAACCCATTTCTCGACTGAGAACAAACGTTGTGATTTCCGTTGACGTTACAGCATTTATTGTTGTACTTGGTGAGTTCGGTATTTCTGAATTTATTGAATGTTGTGTGTCTGAAATCAAAGCCGAGATAAATATTGATTGCTCTTGTATAAATAGAGGATATTCAATGTTTTGTCGTTGATAATGGAATTTATTGAATTCACGAGTGGGACAGACTAATCGCACTCGTGAAAATATATTTAAAAAAATCGTGTTTCACGAGTGCAATAAATTCCATATTCAACTACAAAACATTAAATTTTCTGTTTATTACATTTTCTTTAATTTTCCCTTTACGTATTTGTCTTCTTGTAATACAGTCACAAGCTACATGACGTCATATTTGAGCGGTTGATACGTCATAGCTAAGTGATGCGAGATTGAAAATGTTGTAAACATCGATTTCAGACATAGTTTGGGGGATTTTGGCAGTTTTATTCTCTGTCAGAATGGTTTATTTACACTCTCTCCACATATATTATTATAACAGTCCGAGAAATATTTTTACAACAATCTTCGTTATTGGAAGGAAAATTGAGAGTTTTACCACGTTTCTGATATTTGTCACACTGTGAAAGGATATCATTTTTATTCAATGAATAAATTACAGTATTTCACTTTTGAAAATGTAATAATACCGGGTATATGTATACAGAAATACTACAAAATCTTTCAAAACTCCTGCTTTGAAGGAAAGAACAAGGTTCCATCAAATAAATCAAAGGTAAAGTAGACACTTATCCACTTATTGTACTTGAGTTCTGAGGAAATGATTGCTTCGAGGAACTCAGAACTCTAAGTCAAATCACTTGACTCACAATACAAAATTTAGATTAATAGTTGTCGAATCTACATTTCAAATTGAACTCTTGATAAAAGACACTACAAATCTGACACCTCTTTTACATATAAAAATTTGTTACTGAATATAAACGATAACTATAATCAAGTTAAATACCAGGAGAAGCTTCTGACAAGCTTAAAAAGCTTTCAACAATCTCGTTTAAATTATGTTTTTTTTTTATCTTTCTAAAGAGAGTTAATAATTTTAACTTTCAAACCCATTTCTCGACTGAGAGCAAACGTTGTGGTTTCTGTTGAGGTTATAGCATTCAGAATTGTGCTTGATGAATTTGGGTATTTCTGAATTTATCGTATGTTGTGAGTCTGAAAGCAAAGCCAAGAGATCTATTGATTGCCCTTGTATAATACCGGGTACATGTATACAGAAATAATATGAAATCTTTCAAAACTCTGCTTTGAAGGAAAGAACAAGGTTCCATCAAATTAATCAAAGGTTAAGTAGACACTTATCCACTTATTGTACTTGAGTTCTGAGGAAATGATTGCTTCGAGGAACTCAAACAACTTTAAGTCAAATCACTTGACTCACAATATAAAATTTAGATTAATACATGTCGAATCTACATTTCAAATTGAACTCTTAGTAAAAGACACTACAGAATCTGACACCTCTTCTACATATAGAAATTTGTTACTGAATATAAACGTTAACTATAATCATGTTGTAACAGGAGAAGCTTCTGACAAGCTTAAATAGCTTTCAACAATCTCGTTTAAAGAAGGTTATTTTTTTTTTCTAAAGAGAGTTATTTCTGAATTTGTCGTATGCTTGTGAGAGTCTGAAAGCAAAGCCCAAGAGAACTATTTATCACCCTTGTATAATAACGGGTACATGTCAGGAAATGATATAAAATGTTTCAAAACTCCTGCTTCGAAGGAAAAAAACAGGTTACATAAGTAATAAGAAAATTTTAAGTAAGCACTTATCCACTTATTGTACTTAGAGTGTAGAGGAAATGGGAAGCTCGAGGAACTAGGAACTCAGTGTTAAATACATTTGACTCATTATGTAACATTTAGATTTATATATGTTGATTCTACATATCCAATTGAATTCTTGATAGAGATACTTCAGACTGTGAAACCTAGATTACTTAGGTATTGCGAGAATTGTTACTGAATATAAACGTTAAGGATCATCAATTTGAAACGAATTTATGTAACTGTACATAATAAAATATGTGCGAATCAAATGGATTTATAAACTAAAAGAAGCTACCGACAAGTTATTTATGTTACATAACTATTTCCTACATTTTAAAATTTTCATGCAATTTCTAGGTCGTTGTTAAGACCTTGTTAGTAAATGATGTCTCATTGTGTAATATTTTGAGTGCCATATTACAATCCATTTGTTATTTCATTGCTAGAACACTTTAAACAAATTAAATAAATTAATTAAGTAGTATAACTGTTCATAAAAAGACAATTAAAATGTTTAGATCTTATTCAAACATGCAATAATACAAATTAATTTTTAAAACCTTTCATAAATATATAACTTTAAATGATTCATTTTTTTTTTATAAAATAAACGTTAAAGCCGCTTAACCCGAAACAGGCACATATTATCTTACACAACAAAAGTGCTTCATTACATAGATAATGTATTGAAAGAAATTATAAGATTAATTAATAGTTTATTACAACAATGCTTACATGGAAAACGCAGATCAAAAACCTTATTGACAAACAGTAGTTCCTGACGGAAGATACGATCTGTTGTGATCTCAATTTTGTTTATCGGATTTTCTTTATAATGAAGATAATTCAAACCCAGTATTTTTTTTTTATTATAAGAACCCTTAGTCATAATACATCTTTTCAAAATTAAGAAATTATGAATATAATCCATAGAAATTTTCATATTAATTGCATTTTTAAAGAATAAAGGAAGTCAGATACTTTAAATGATTTTTTTAAAAAGGGGCTAAAATATTGTCCGTGTACAGGTTATATATGTGTACTTTGTTGTGAAAAAAATTCGGTTCTTCTTCATGAGATAAACATGTAAGCGATAAATTTATTTTTTCGAAGGTGATTTCACGCAATATCAACAATATAACATAGGATTATTTTTTGTGTGACCTAACAAAAATTATTTTTTTAACTTTTTAATTTTTTGATATCTTTTTAAAAGAAAAAGGGTTTGGGGAAAAATTTGACAAAATTGAAACAATTTTTGGACAATTTTTTTAAAAAGAAAATGAATAATTTTTTAGCGATTAGAATGGACCAAACGGCTTTAAAAACTTTCTAAAAATATGTTTTCATTGTAATTAACATACTTCATAACGTTCCATAAAATGTTATGACCATTTTTTTCTCCATTTATATTTCGGCATTTTTTAGTTTTGATAATTTATTATAAAAAGATATATTAAGATCATGAAAGTAGATTTTTTGTTTTTTTTATGCACATTTTTTTTTCTTACCAGTAGATGCTCCCATAATCCCCCTTGTTGAAGGCAGTGGTGACATTGATCTGTCTAATGTTACTGGTACAGAACTCAAAACTTCCGTCGTAATCTCTTTTGTTGCGTGTTGAAAAGCTGTAGAATCTGGAGAAGATGATTTTATCAGTTCTCCTTAAAATTAAAACTTTACTCATTATCTCTTTTGATGTTGTTATTGGGTAACTTGAATTTGGGAAATTTGTTTTCATTGTTTTTCTTGTAGTTACTTCTCTTGATGAAGGTATTTTGTTGACAGTATTTTTAGAATTGTTTTTTAATTGTGATGGAATTTTTCAGATAATGATTTTTTTGTTGATATTGCTGTTGTCTTTTTTTTCCTTGGTTTGGATATTTTAACTTTAAAAAATTTTTTGCCAACTTTTATTAATGTTGATTTTCTTGAAATCTTCGATACTTAAAAAAATAAAAGGGCATTTGGGCAATTTATAAATAAATAAAAGGAAAGGGCTAACAAAACGGCTCAGAACTGTATTAAAGACGTCATAAAGTGATAAAAAACAGAATAAAGGCAAATTTGTCTGAAATTAAAATCACCCATTCAAAGGATGGCAGTCTATGTAATTTTAACCATGCTAGGATTGTGCTAGCTAAATAACGAATGTCATACAGGGACATGTATTTCCTTGCCACATGACCTTCTTTTAAACCAATAAATAACGCATTGTATGGGTTGATTGATTGATATATGTTGTTTTCCCCATTCAAGAATTTTTTACTCAAAAACAGAATAACCATTTTTTGCTGAAGGGATTCAAATTTTGACATTTACTCGGCACTCAGGGCCACTGGGGAAAAAGGGGAAATTTATCGTGCTAACGTCTGTCCTCGGTTTTAAAGGTCTTATCAGAAGGACCCGCCACTTTTCTTCAAAGTGCCCGCACATGGCAAAGAAAAAGTTGCTACCCCTTTTTTTTAAAACTAGTCTAGTGAATTCGAATCACGACCTCCGATCACGAATCCACCGCAAACGGTTATCGTATGGAATATTACCGGTATAATGAGGTATATTAAATTTTATTTCCCTTTTTCTGTGAATTTCTAATTTTTGAAAAATAATAATTCGTATAAATAGTGTCTTGGCTTGATATATTATATATTAATTTTTTTTTTCCAGTACAATGTAATTCTTATGAAATGAAAACCTCCTTAAAAAAATATAGAATTCAATTTTCACTCTATTTTGCTTTCTAATTTTAATTTTCTAATTTCATTTTAATAAAACATACATCTATATTTTAAAGTTTAAGTTATTTTTGAAATTGGGCATCGGTATTTATAAAATTTTTTTGAAATTTGGGTGATGATTTTGATGTTTAAAAAATAACAAAAACTAAATTTAAATAATTTTTTAAAATATTTAATTAGTCAAATACTTATTTTAAAATTTAAGTTTGACATAAATGACAAAATTATTTATGTTAAGGTTAATTGAAAACCTTTATCTTAAATTTTGTTATAAAGTATCATAAGTTTTTTCCTTTTCATTTCTATTTGTAAATTTCGTTGCCACATTGATTAAAAAAGTAAGTTACTGCCCCAATTTCCTGTATTAGTAAATTCGTTTATATGTTAGTTTTTGAAATACCTTTGAGAAGGGAAAAAAAAAAAATATTATAAACAAAACAAATAAATTTAAAAATATATCTTGGCTGTAAAAAGCCAATGATTAATATAGTTTTGTTGTCGTTAAATTTGTTTCCCCAAAAAAGTTGGGGGCGTTTGTTTTATCTGTTTTTATTATTAAGGTTTCCGACTTCCTTCAAACCTTTTGTTTTTTCTGTTTTCTATTATTATTATTAAGGTCTTCCGTCTTCACGGAAGACCTTTATATTTTTGTTTCTTTTATTATTGGTTTCGTCTTCACGGAAACCTTATAGTTTTTTCTATTTTTTTATTATTATTTTTTTTTTTTAACAAAATTTTGTGCAGGCATT